GATTAAATTGTAAAATACTCAATATATTTTATTGTATTGTTAAAATATGTATTTCATAATTCGAAATATTTGCATTTTATTTTTATACTCAAATTAAATCAGTGTACAACGGCTTTATGCATCAGTGCTTTCAATCGGATTCGTCATAACGCTTATTATACAAAGACGGAGAAAATACTTTTAATGCAGTTTATTTCCGAAAAAAAACTAGAATAGAAAATAATTATCAATGCGACAGATCTAAATTAAAAGCTATCGAAAATAAAAAGACTAGTGCGACGAACTAAATTTGATGGTTTTATTGGTTATGAAGGCTGCTCTTTCTCCTCAAGGAAACTCCTTCCTTGTGAAAAGGAAGCTAATAAGGTTCCTTGTTTGGTCAAGGAAAGTTTATGAAACATTAAATAAAGAACAAGGAGTCCTCCTTCCTTAAGGAATAAGGATATTATACCCTGAATACGGGTATTAGTTCTTAAGATATTATTTGCGCGACAATACCGTCCAAAAGTTTAAATCACATCACGATGCTTGGTAGCGATACCTCATTCCCGTCAAAGAGAAAACTTTCGATTGTGCCTGTCCAAGGCTGCACGCACACGTGGAAAGAAAATGAATACATATATACAGATACATGCAAACTAACATCGGTTCTGTCAAATGTTTGCTAGCCGTTCCCTCTACTTCTCATAACTCTCTTCAGTCGCTTCCATATGCCAAACAAAATCGAAAAATTGCGTTCTTTTCGCGGCTTTATTTTCCTAATTAAACAGTCAAAAATTATGATCTTTTTTTATAATATTTGTTTTATGTTCCTCTATCGCGTGCTCATTTTTTGTAACAATTCTAAAAATGATATATGGATGCTATAATTAAAAATTTTAAAGCTGAAAACACAATAGACACAGACAATAAAAATAGAAAACAGAGAATATAAGTTCCGAACCATAAAAAAAATATAAATCAAATATAAATTCGATATTATACCCCAGAGCTCTGAGTGGATATTATGCCCCACAGCTCGTTATTCCCTGTTCCTATTGCCTGTGTCTATTCCAGCTATTTCCAGCTTAATTTGAGTTGCGTATATACATCATATGTTAAAACTGCACATTTTAATTGCAATTATCTCAAAAACTAGATAGTCTATATGTTTCTAATTATATACAAACATAAAGAGCATTTCAACTTATGGCGTTTTCGATCCGATCGAGTTTGCACCTGGGTTGGAAAATATTTTGCTATTGGTTGACACGCTATACTAATAAGAGAGCACAAAACGTCATTAATTGGTGCAAATCTGCCCAATAAGGAAAAAAATATTTGAAAAAACGTTTTTTTAAACATTTTTAAAAAGATAATGAGAAAAGTCTCCTTTTTTTCATTAAAAAAACATTAATTCATACGTTAAAAAAAATGTTTGTTTAATGCTTAAAAAAACATTTTTTTAATATTTCAAAGAAATGTTTTTTTTTAATGTTTAAAAAACGCTTTTTTAAAAATTTGACAAAAATGTTTTTATAATGATAAAAGTAACGTTTAAAATAACAAGAAAAGTTTTTCATTAAAAAAATGTTTATTTAAACGTATAAGTAACGATTTTTTAAAGTTAAAAAAACATTTTTTTATGTTAAAATTATTTTAACAAAATTAGAAAAAATATTGTACAACGCAGAATATCTTTTTTAATTTATTATTTTTTATCGATAGTAAATTTAACCTTTAGACAATCAATTTTATTAATTAATAGCAATTTTTAATTATATTTTTATCTTTTTTACTTACCGGGTTTTGAACTTGGAATCTCAAGGTTATGAGTCTCATACCTTATCCATTATAATTGTCACTTATATTATAATTGCCACTTATAATTGTCGATGGACACAGTTCTTATTGTCAATAAATGATATACTTAACGCAAATATATTGGATTAATTTTTTTTTCGTGTTTATTTTTTTATTCCGACCTATTTTTTATTAATTTAAATTTTAGAAAATAATAAAATTTTTTACAATAAATCTTTATATTAAACGTCAAATAAATGTTTTTTAATATATTTTAAATAAATAAATAACGTAAAAGAAACATTTAATAAACAAAAACGTTTAAAAATATTCCATTGAATCATTGTTTCAAACAAAAAATTAATGTATAACGAACACTTAATAAACGTTAAATAAACATTTTTAAAAAATCTTATTTTAAAAACGAATTATAAACCTAAAATTCATTATGAATAAATGTAAAAAAACATTTCCTCTCCATTAAGATATAATGATCCAACGTGAAATAAATATTTAGAAAAGGTTTCTTCAAGCCATTATCTTAAATAAACAATTGATGTAAAAAAACATATTTAATAAACGTTAAATAAGCATTTCAAAAATATTTCTTCAAATACTGTTAAATAAACATTAAAAAAATGTTTTTTTCATCGTCATTTGAAATAAAAAATTAATGTAAAACAAACATTTCATAAACGTTGAATAAAAGTTTAGAAAACATTTCTTCGAAACATTATTTCAAACGAAAAATTAGTATAAAATTAACAAACATTTAATAAACATTAAATAAACGTTTAAAAAATGTTATTTTGGAAATGAATCATAAAACGTAAAATTAATTAAAAACAATAATTAGAAATTTAGAACAAGGCTAATGAGAGCCTAACGCTGATGTAAGAGCGAAGAGTTAGGAGATGCAGATAATACTCAGATGTTGGCGGTTGTCTTTATTTATTGTATCGAACATTTCGGTTCACTTTGGAGTTATCTTCAGCAAAAAAGTAGAATATAATACATCGTTAAAAGTACGTCACTCGCAGATTAACAGAAATGCAGTAATCAATACACTCAACGGGAAATAAAGAAGTTCACAAACATTGATTCACAATTTTCATAAGATATATAATAAATTAATTTAATTTAGTTTACTTTATTGTAAAGCTATATGAAAAAGACTACATGTTAACAGAGTAATAGACATAAAATAAATGATGCAATAGACTATAGTTAACATAAACATAAATACAATAGACAATAGTAGCTTACAAATGGTTAGGCGTCAGCAAAATTGCTATTACAAAGCTTACCAGTAACAAAACCAAAATAAGACATAAGAGGTAAACTAATAGCTAAAATCATACACACATACATCCACACACATACACTCGCAAACACACTAATTACATCAGTCTTGTTTAAATACTGTGAGAGACGCAATGAAATAAATAATAAGATAAATAATAAGATAAATTAAAATTTCAAACGACACGTCAAGATGAACTAATACGATATTATCCGAGGAACGATTTGTTTTAATTACAGCCTTGTTCTGAATTTCTAATTATTGTTTTTAAGATTGAGAGTTCTTATTTATATATTTATATATTTATGTAATTGTTTAAAATTAATTACAAATAAACGTTTAAAAAATGTTAAATAAATATTACTTTAAAAACGAATCGTGAAATGTGAAATTAATGAATAATAAACATTTAAAAAACGTTCAAAAAACATTTTCTCCCCATTGGGCGGTCGGGGAAAATATCACTACTTGTATTTAAATTTATAACACATTTATAAAAAAATCATTTTATGCTACCTTAAACATCTATTGGTTATGTTTAGTCTATAGTGTATAACGTATTTCTTGCCTTTGAGTTGATCAAATTCCAATAGCGTTGTCAGGAGAGATAAGGGATTCGAAAGGGCGGGGAAGATAGGATTCAGTTATTCTTGAGTCATGGAAAATATTGTTAAATTTACAATTTCCTTTTTTATTGCGCGTGCAGAAATCGTCACCAGACAACAAAAGAACTTTAAAACGTCAAGAATTACTTTTTAAGCTTTCATGGGTATTTTCTTCAGAGGTGTCAAAGGGTTTGCGGCCAGTTATCGCATTATTAGTTGCTATGATCCATTGCTGATGTCAACATTTCGTGAACTTTACTGTTTACTTTATCGAGGCGAAGAGTGCGCTTCTCATCCAGATGAAGTAAAGACAAGGTTCACGAAACGTTGACGTTAACAATAAATCACGATGCGATGATAACCCTTTGACAGCTTTGAAAAAAATAAATAAGTATTTTAAAGATTAAAATTTGTACTTTAACATGCTTTTGGTCAATTTTTAAACAATTTTTATATTTACAAATCTGTATCTCTGTAAGAAAATCGAATTACGTTGTTATGTTCTTCAAAATTACGTACATTCAACAGTCTGTAGTTCAATAAAAAATTTTTTTCTCAAAAAGTTTAATACTTTTTACAAAAAAGAATAGTTTTGTCTACAAAATGCTATCTTAAAAATTTTCTTACAATTTTTCTTGACCGAATTATGCGACTTTGAAGCTAAACCTGCATGTATTTCTTATAATCAATGTTAAAATTCGACGAAAAATTATAATAAAGATTTAAAAAAGCATTTTGAAATTCAATGTTTGTATATTAACATGGTTTTGATCGTTTTTAGATTTAATTCTGTGGAATTGGAAAGAAAAAGTTTTTGTGTTTTGCCAAATTTCACAACGTTGGTTATAAAATATACAGATTTAGTTTCAAAGATATGGTCACAATTCGGTCAAGAAAAATCGTCGAAAAATTGTTAAGAAAGCATTTTGTAGGTCAAACTGTTCTTTTTTGTAAAAATATTATATAAATTTCTTAAGAAAAAAGTTTTTATGGAGCTACAGACTATTGAATGTATGCAATTTTAAGGAATATAACAATTTAATCTTTGTTTTCACCGAATTTCGGTGATCCGCAAAATTGTGCAATTTGAAACATTTTAAAAGTGTTCCTTATTTTTTGTTGAGTAGTGTATAATTCATATCAACTCAATACTAAATCGACAGTAATAGGTCTGAGAACTTTATTTTATCAAATAAGTAAATTAAATTGTCGAAAAAAATGATCATTTAATATTAAAACAAATTCTGTAAATCGTTAGAAAATAATTTACTCCAATGTATTTTAATGAAAAACGTATATGTATATTTTAGGAGTCGATACCGGGCTGGACCGACGCGGAAGTTGCGCCGTCGCGCCGTCCTGAAAAATGGCGATTGCAATGTGTTACAATCACGCATTTCCCGACGATCATTACGTTTTCTTCAAGACATATTCACAACTTTAGTGGATACACAATGGCGTTGGACCCTGCTATGTTTCATCTTAAGCTTTCTTTTATCTTGGCTGGGTTTTGCAGTGATTTGGTGGCTAATAGCCTTCACTCATGGTGACTTCGAAGAGTATCATTTGCCGCCTTTTCAAGTAGAAAACAACTGGACACCATGCGTTTACAATATTTTCAGCTTCACTAGTTGTTTCCTCTTTAGTATCGAAACTCAGCATACTATTGGATATGGCAGCCGCTCTACTACTGAAGAATGCCCTGAAGCTATATTTATTATGTGCCTTCAGAGTATCGCTGGTGTCATGATCCAAGCTTTCATGGTATGTTAGAAAAATGTTAAGTTTTTACATATAAAACATCGAATCGTAAAAAGTTAAATTTAATTAAAGAATTAATTGCAGGTGGGCATCGTATTCGCTAAAATGACCAGGCCAAAACAACGTACTCAGACTTTATTATTTTCGCGAAATGCTGTGATTTGTCAACGAGATGGTGAGCTTTGCCTCATGTTTAGAGTGGGTGATATGAGGAAAAGTCACATAATTGGCGCGAGTATACGCGCACAAATGATTCGCAATAAAATAACCAAAGAGGGTGAAATTCTGTTTCAACACCAGCATGAACTGGTGGTAGGTACTGATGGTGAAAATGGCGATCTATTTTTTATTTGGCCAGCCACCATCATTCATCGGATCAACGAATCATCGCCCTTCTTCAATATGTCCGCCGAAGATATGTTAACTGAACGTTTCGAAATTGTTCTAATCTTAGAAGGTACTATCGAATCTACTGGACAAACTACTCAAGCAAGGTCTAGCTATCTTCCGCAAGAGATTCTATGGGGCCATCGTTTCGATCCCATTGTAAGCTATTCAAAGGAACGACAAGGTTATGAAGTAGACTATTCACTGTTTAATAGTACCACTCAGGTTGACACTCCACTGTGCTCTGGCAGAGAGCTTGCAGAATTTTATAAGGCGCAGGATGATCTTCGTCATGGAACTGGTACGCGATCATATGATCAATTTCTTATATTAATTGTACTGATAATTTTCTAAATCCTTGGTTTATTAAATGAACACGGAGTTTAATATCTAAAATAACAATTTATTTTAGTTTCTTTGAAAACATTGATTTAAAAACACTTACATTTCTTACAATTGTAATTATTAAATTACTACATATAAAATATTGTAAAATTAGTTTTATAAAAAATTTTATAAAGTTACTAAATATGTTCATATATAATCAATCAAAATTATTCATATATGGAGAGTGGGAGACAAATGAGAGCAATATAAGAAAACGATGCGGAAATTAATACTATTGACAATATTAATTAATTAGTAAATTACATTCAAATTAAAATATAAACTATCATCTTTTCAACGATGTCCAAAGAACTATTATTCGTGGATCACAGATAATGAAGATGGCTTGAAGTAAGCCAAAACGCATAACAAATTCGACAGTATTAATTTAAACATAATTTACTAATATGTACTATACGTTAATAATGCATTAATTTTTAATTAAAATGCGTCGTTTCCTTGTATTACTTTCATTTGTTCCCTTGCCCCTTTCCCTTTAAATAATTTCTATTCATTATTGAATTTCAAGATCTTATTAATTTATTAATGATTAATTTACTTGTAATTGTTCATATTATAAATCAAGAATTAGAACAACAATGTAAGAGAGCAAATAATTTATTAATAAAATCTAGAACAGATTTCTTGCAAGATATTAATATAAATCAAATTTTCTATTTTCGCAATATGAAATACTGATAACAAAGCAAATTCTATTTACATTATCTATTTACATTATATCAATGAGCATGTTCAGCAGACTCAATTGTTGCGGAGCGGATCCATAAGCACACGCTGCTATGGGATGATCTAGAAGAATAAACCAATAGCAGCGAGCACTCATAGAGCCGCTCCGTAATAATTAAGGTCTGCTGAACGTGACCAAAACCCACCTGTATTACAATTAATCAGACATACGTAACAATCAATTTGTTTAATCTGAGATAATTTTTTTATGTACATTCAATAATTGTTTCTACGTTATAATATAGTAGCAATTTATAATATTATTATTATAAATGCATTGTTCGTTTACACTTATCTCTAGAATTCAATATCGAAAAATTTGTATTTCCTTATAATAACTGAATTTAATTATTTTTAGACTTTGACAGAGTTACCTATAAGATTTAAATTTTTCTATTATTACATACAATACATGAACGAGCATAGAAATTTTTTCGAATCCATTTATTATTAATATTTAGTAAAAGAACCTAATATAGCGGATATAAAAAAAATTGACATTAGCATTACATGTTATTAATTTTCTTATTCGAAAATTTCCAAACTTTGTAACTATTAAGGACTATTAATTGTGCTAATTATTAATCGATATGTTAACACTTAGTTTGAACCAGAGGCCTGGCACTCGATGATTTCATGCAGTGAGCTATATACCATGATATAAAGACAAAGATATGCCTATGCGCAGGATGTAATCACGTGATAGTTGAGCGACCAATCAGAATTGTTATCAAGTTACGTCATCATTTCGTGACAAATTGGAATATATTATTTTCCAGTATACTTACAGTGCTCCTTGCAATATATTATACTTTAACAAATACAAAAGATATTAAACACAAAATAAATATTAAAAATGATAAATAAATTCTCGATGTAGGTATGTAATATAAGAATTTGTTATGCTTTTCTTAACGATAGCATATAATAATGAAAGAAATTGTTTTATTTGCTAGAATCTGGAAATTATGCGTTCGAGCACTTAGCCGTTCTTTTCAAATTATGGACACATTGAATATAACGTCAAAGAATTTATTTTATCTGCATATAACTATCATTGTAACGAACGTTTTTTACGTCAATTTTTATTGGAAATGACAAGACTCTAATTTCACAATTTAAGGCATCTGTCAATCTAATTGCGATAACATCTTGGTTTGAATTAATGTATTTATTATATGTATACTAAAGATGGTTTAATTACGACTGAAACGTTTATGGTATAATATATCTTGAAATTATTCTTTTTATATTTAATAAATCTATATATTGTTTCACTCAAAGACCTTGCGTAGTGGTGTATACTAATGGTCTTTGTAATATTGTTTTTAAATATTAAAAGACAATATTATAAATAAACAATAATAAGATTTTATTAAAATCGAAATTAAATACTTACGGATTGAAAATTGAGAATTTGCTTGACAATTTAATTTAACTTGTGATATTATTGCAATAGTTTAATTGCGTTTGATAAAGTCCGGAAAAATTTCGGTGCGCAGTTTGAATAACTACAAAAATATAGTATATATGCATGTACATATATAGGATATAGATAATTCACTGTGAATTATTTAGACATTTAGAAGATCTATAGCTTTAACCATAGCTTTAATCATAGGCTTGAATATACTTCCCTGTCCCCGTCGCTTGCATTCGTCAGAGATGGCTCTGCGTAACTCCCTATAGATCTGTCTCAATTTTCGGGTTCGAGGACAAGTGTCTCCCGCAATGGCAGATTTGCCTGCGTTTTATGCACATTAATATTAAGTCGCTCGTTCCGCATGTTGCTAAGAGATGTCATTGCTTTCCACTGTTTGGATGTTCTGGACGTCGAGACTTGGTTGCCGAATTCGATTGACTCTGGATCCGTCGACATTGATAACTACGTGCTCGTTTGCTCAGTCAGATCCACAGGCCGCCGTGGGGGCGGTGTCGCGCTATATATCGATGAGTCTGTCCAATTCTCGCCGATCGGCTTGGGCGTCGATGGGTACCCTCATTGACATTGTTGCTGTATCTCTCCATCTTGCTCGCGGTTGGGTAGCGGTATGTCGTCTGCGTATATCGCCCTCCTGATGCATCACTTTCTGACTTGCATTTTATAGAGTCATACTTATCTTGTGCGGCATGTATAAGCAACGTGACTGGGCGATTTCAATGTCGATATGCTTGGTCAAATTGATCATAACGCCAAACTGTTACTCAATATCGCGTCGCTGTTTTCTCTTAAGCAATTGATTGATTGGAATTTGCTTAACATATAATTCAGCAACCATCTTGGATCTTATTTTTGTCTCGTCGAGCATTAATGTAATTGAATGTGGAGTCAGTGATGCGATCAGTATGAGTAACCATTCATCCTATTCCGCAATCACATCATCCTGGTCGTGCGTCTTCCTTGCAACATTCATGCAATCAGGCTTGAGGACATCGAGTATGAGCTAGGGCTGATAGACTGATCCCCTTTATATGCAGCGTCGCATGTTGATGAGATGGTCTCTCACTTTACTGCCTCTCTTACTGCAATTTTCGACTGAATCGCCCCAATTACTTGTAGGCGTCTTTCTCTCTCCATGGCTGAATAATGCAGTCCGACGGCTCATTGAGCTGAAGAGACGTGCCCTTCTTAGATACAGGCGATCTCAATCTCCTGCGGATTGGCAGCACTTCAAGAGTTTGCGGAACGACGTGAATATTGCTGTTCATTGTTAGAAAAAGTTCTTCCTCTCTACGTCCCTTACAACTGATTCCTCGCTCCAATTCTGGAGAAATCTCCCTTGTATAGTGCCCAATCCTTCTCTGCTTCTATACCTTTGTACCTTAGAAATCCTTCCCTCCTAAATAATCATTTTCTTGATACTCTATCTTCTTCGTCTTATTCCTCTAACTCTTTTACTCATCTTCTTTCCTCCTTTCCTCACGTTTCCTTAACCTTCAACTTTACTCCAATTACTCCTAGTGATCTGTACAATATTTGTAAGCGCATTCGCCTGACTTCCGCTGGACCTCTGAATCTCTCCGGTCGCATGTTCCTACTGTGCCTTCCTTAATGTCTTAATCTCCTTCTCTATATGTTAAATTTCTCCCTTTCTCACAGTACCTTTCCCTCCTCCTGGAAACATTCAATTGTTCTTCCTCTTCTTAAAACTAATAACTCTTCTCCTTCATCTTTTCGCCCTATCTCGCTCCTCCCTTTCCTCTCAAAACTGCTTGAGTGTATCTGCTTCTCACAACTTAATGCCTTTATCTCAAATTTTAATATCTTCTCCTGTCAGTCTGGTTTTCATCGCTCTCACAACACGACAACGGAATTATTTTACATCTCTAACGTCGTGCTTCATAATTTTGATAATAGTCGCCTTACTTCTATCATTGCGCTGGACTTCACAAAGGCTTTCAATACCGTTAATTATGATCTACTTTTAGTCGAACTCAAGTTATACGGTTTTTCTCATCCTGCTTTCTCGCTAATCTGCTCGTTCCTTACAAAGCGCATTCAGCAAGTCCTCATAATCCTTTTCCTCTTTTCTCCTCTACTCGTGCCGTTCTCTCTGGTGTTCTTCAGAGTTCCATTCTCGGACCCTTACTCTTTAATATTTTTGTCTCTGATTTATCTAATGTTTCTCTGTCCTTCGACTTTTTCATGTATGCAGATGACATAATTCTTCTCCTTTCACCTATTCAATGCTTTAGCAATCTGTTCTGCTTTAAATACAAACTTAAAATCTCTATTATCGAATGGTCTACTAATAATGGCCCTGCATATAAATCCTTCTAAATCATCCTTGCTGATTGTTGGTTCTTCAACATTGTTATCCCATATTCAATCCTTCGACATTTCTTTTAATTCTAATTCCTTGCTCCTCATCTATTAAGATTCTTGATGTCCATGTTGACTTTTCATGATCATTCGAGTCACACGTGGCTGTCAAGTGTTGGGCTACTTATACTCGTCTTCTTTACCCCCTTCGCCACATCTGCTCTCAAAAACTCCTCACTTCTTAATTACTTGCTATTTCTTTATTTGATTATGCTGATGTTGTCTACGTTTCGGCTCTTAACCAACATCTACTAATTCGTGTACAACGTATCAAAAATTCTTGTCTCCGCTTCTCCTATTGCGTTCTTAAATACGACCATATATCTCCGTATTAGCAGAGATCTGGCTGGCTTAAGACTTAGCAACGTTTATTCTCCACCTATGCTGTCTTGTATTTTCTCTCCTTCGCTCCAATACTCTTTTATATATGCGACGTCTCCTTCAGTTGAACTCTGAACATCATTCTTTTTATCCCCGGATACCAAGATTACTTATCCTTCTCCATATATCGGTCCACTAAGTTCCATGCCGCTTTCTCCTACATCTCTGTCAAATATTTTAATTCCCTTCCAATAAAAACCTCTCCCTCTCTGTCCTCCTTTCATTTCGCTGCCTTACGTTTCATCGCGTCACTCACAGTATTTAAACGAGACTAATGTAATTGGTGTGTTCGCGGGTGTATGCATGTGCGTGAGCGTGCGTGCGTGATTTCAACTATTAATTTCCCTCTTATTGCATTGTTGTCTTATTCTGATTTTGTTACTGGTAGGCTTTGTAACAGCAATTTTGCTGACGCCTAACCATTTGCAAGTTACTATTGTCTATTGTATTTATGTTTATGTTAACTATAATCTATTGTATCATATTTTATATTTATTACTCTGTTAACATGTAGTCTTTTTCATATAGCTTTGCAATAAATTAAATTAAATTAAATTTTGTTATACAACATGCTTTACTATTCCTCTACACTCATATGTCATGAAATAACCACTAAGTCTTTTGCACGTCCTACAGTAATTATTTTATGTAGATTATAATTTATAATGGCGCTACTTAACACAGTCACAAATCAATTGAACTAACAATAATTTCATTAATATTAACAATAAGAAACTGAAATTATTAACACAATACTAATATAACATAAAGGCATGTAACAGAGTAGTTGTAGGAATATTACCCTTACTCCTTCTATTTTTTCTGATTTCTGCGGCGTAAATTCCAGCGCGGCGTATTTTCCGGAGTTACCCTATATTTAAGTCGGTGTTAGTAATGAAGAATTTAGTATTTTCGAGATGTATGCAAAAAATTGCTTCTTCCCGTAATTGTATTTTGTGATATTACTAATGCAAACACAGTATAAGAAAATAATGAATGTTGTTCCTTGGTTTATTTACTAATTAACTAAATAATATAACGACACTTTTACTGAGATTAGTCTCTGAGACATTGATTTAAAGAAAACTGGAATAAAAACAGCAATTTTATAAATCTATGTTTTATTAATCAAACTAACAAATATAGCATAGAGCGTACAGATACAGATATAACGTTTTTTCTTTCGCGTGGTCTCAGGAACCAACCATGGTACTTGAAGGTTAAATAAATTTTTGGAATATATTATATATTTTTATTTTTGGTATTTCTTTTTATAATATAATTTTTTGTATTTATAATATTGTTTTTAAATATTTATTTTGTGTTTAATATCTTTTGTATTTGTTAAGTGTGCAAGGAACGCTGTAAATATACTGATAAATAATACATTCAAATTTACCACGAAATGATAACGTAACTTGATAACAATTCTGATTGGTCGACTGTCACGTGATTACATCTTGCGCATAGATATACCCTTGTTTTTATATTATGGAATTAATCGAAGTCATTCGTGACTGATGTAACTTGTTGACGGTCACGTGTTTACCCTATAGTGGAATGTCAATCCCTTCCATTATGGTTTACCTCCTTTTTCTATATCTGCACAATGGATTACCACCCATCGACATATAGTACTGGACGGAACATACGGTGAAATGTCTGATCTTTCGTTTTGCGAACCTAGAAAGAGAAAGATAAATGTTTGGGCATGGAACTTTTTTTCTACTATTGTCCTATTGGTCGCTACTATACAAACATCGTTTTATCTCTTTCTAGATCTGTTAAGATGGTTTCGATGCTAATGCTCCGTCCAGTACATGTCGATGTTACCACTGGATGAGCATACTCTTTATATCATGAACATAATTCCACTTCACTAATGAAAGCGAATTGAGTTATTACTAGCGCGGTCAATAAGGAGTTCACATGAAACTAACTAACTAACACTCGAAAACCTATTAAATGCCAAGGACCTAATTTGAATCCTACGCATATTCCAGCTTGTTGCTAAGACCTAATCTACAATCAGTTGAGAGACGTTGTCGTATGTTGTGTGCATGCGCATAACCTTCATTTTTCGTGTCGGCTATCGGTGTCGATTGCTCAGGCGTCGATTGGTCAGGTCCCAGATCTTTTACGACTAATGACATCCGACAAGCGTCAGCCAACTTGATTAAAGACGAAGTCTAATTCTAATATTTATGGCGAATTCGACACACATATACTGACTCTGCTCTAATGCTGCTTTGACAATATAGTGCGAGTGTAGAACCACTTTAGTGCTATGATCCAAATATAAATTTAGCACTATACTGGATCAGTTTTCATTTATTGAATACGACAATCTTAATGTACTGATACAGCTTAGAACATACTCGTATACTACTGAAAGGAGCATAGACTTGAAAAGTTGAAGAAAAGCAGTGAAAAAAGATTACATTTCACCTCCTCACCTTGTGCATATCGGTCTGGAGCATGCGCATTACTGACTAGGCGCATTTTATTTCCATCCTTGTCAATCTTCTTGGCTTTTTATCTCCATCCTTGTCAATCTTTTTAGCCAAAGGCTTTAGTCAAGTGCACAGGGATTGTAGGTTTATGCTACTTCCAGTATATAGGAGGTACATATACTCTTACATAACGCATAACACGCAATGCATGAAAATATACCAATCAAAGTCCTTCGTTTCCTTCCTTTCCATGAAATAAAGAACTCTGGTTGAATTTCTTATGTCTTATATAAAAGTTATGCATTATATAAAAGTCTGTATTCCTCGTTTATGTTCTAAGAGTGCGCACATGCGAGTTCTCAGTGCGCACATGCCGAGTGCGAATGCGTAGCGCTGAAAAAGTTCGCACTCAGTGCACACTAGTGCAATCTGCCGAATTTACTATTAGTTTCACATATTACTCATTATTATCTTTGACTGATCATCTGGTACTGGTTGTATCACAGATGGAAGTCTAAAGAAAATCCCTAGCGAGCCGAAGAATGTTCCAATTGTGCTCAATATGCTCCCTCAAGCAGACAGCGCAGATTTTCTCATCCATCAAGATCGCTCTTCTCAGAAACCGTCCAAACTGCATATTGATATTCCATCTATCGACGATGGTCCTGGAGTATAACTTATGTCGGCCAGAAAAAGGCCGAATATTTAAAATAAAATAAGAAACGAAGAAAAAAGAAAAATAGGAATAGATCACAAAAGAAAAGAATTATGTAGAGATAACACACACACGCGCGCGCGCGTTTCTCATCATACAAAAATTTGAATAATCCTTTTGCTTGTGTCATAAAGAAGAGTAAGTTGTGTATTTATGTTATAGGTTATATAACTAGAGAAGATTAATTACACATAAATAAATCAATTAAAACAATCTTGATAATACGTGCATTTGAAAGATTTAAGTTGTTCTAAGATGAGAATTGTAATCTTTAGTATCACAATTTCTTAGTTAAATATTGGCATATATTATGCTGATTCTACAATGAGTCAATAGTTCTAAGTCTTATTGGTGAAGTTGATTCACTGAAATATAATAACTACTGAAACAAGAGCGGTCCTGCTGTTTTTGTTAAGAATGATCCGAGAGAGAGAGAGAGCGTTTCAAGTGGTATCTTTATTCTTTTCTAACCTGTACTCAGATATAATTGTGCATGTGCGATAGACGATATTAGCTTTTCGGTGCAACAGAATGCGCAAAATTTTAGAATTAATGTTTCTTTATCAATGTTAACGTCATTACCGCATTTACTACCAATGATTGTATTAATGGAAAAAATTCTCTATTTTGAGCGTTAAATACTAAAAAAAAACGCTCAAATTTGAATGTTAAACATTTAAAAAAACCGCTTAAATTTTGATGTGATTTCGAACCGTCAACTGAAAGTTACACCCAATTGAAGGTTAATGCCCAAAGAAAACCATCAAAATAAACAGCTTTATTTTATAAAATTAATTAATTCTATTTTATTGCTATAATAACATCATTGATCTGTATCATATTCTGAAATACACATGACAAAATTAAATGGAAAAAAACGCTTTCGCAGCTTCTTCATTTAAGAATTAATTTCCTTATTTTTCTAAGTGGTTACCTATCCAATCTTGTACTTCATCCAACAATATTTAACCTCTGCAATTATACGGAAACTGCTGCTTCAATAATCCAAGAACAGTCAATGTTAATGAATGTATAACTGTGACATATTTCAATAGATAAGTTTGTCAGAAAGATGTTTCACGTATAGTTGAAATATATTTGCTTAACACTTTGTAATGTACTTTAATTAGACATATAATATTGAAAAGGATTCAAATGATGATCGAAACATACTATATATAGTTGTAACGTTTAAATAAATTTATATACACAAATCCATCTAATGTCAGCTATTGTAGGTAATTTTAAAGTTTAATTTAATTCGCTAGAGCTTATTAATTTATTTTTAAAATATATTAGAGGTTATTAATTTATTTTTTTAAATATATTTCTTCCCAGATAACAAAACCTTCCTTGATGTAAGAAAAGAAATAGGTGCTTAACACAAGTTTCTCTTCAATTGCCATCATGTTGCTGCCATTAGAGCAGTAGAGGAAAGGCTTCTATTATGAGATACTAAGTTCATTTTGAGTAAATGCTAGAAGTCTAGAGGCAGAATTTAAAAAAGTAATAGGTCATTTTGAAGGGAATTTAATAAGCTTTAAGATAACGTTATATAAAAGGGTATAGCAGGATAAGGAGGTGATTTCAGGCCCCAGCAGGTAATCGATTGCTACAGGGGACAAAATTAACACACTAATGAAAGAATATTTTGTGCAAAGTTCCATCCTAAAAAAGTCACACCGTTTTGAGATATCGAACAAAATGTGATTTTTTATTAGTATTTTTTTCTCCGTTAAATCTAAATGGATCTTTACAAAAAAAAATCATGGATATAAAGGGTATCAAAAAGATTAGAGTAAGAATTATTTTATCATTCTTGGCTTAAAATTCTGTTTTTAAAAAATTCAAGAATTTTTGAAATTGCATTTTTTATATGATATGAATGTTTTACCACTTTTAAAATAATTCAGCAGCTAAATCTTATCATAAATTATATTCGTGATTTTTTTCAGATTTTTAGATTTGGTGGAACATATCAAAAAAGAAAAATTAAAACTGTTTTTTCGCCATTTTCCGACATAAAATATATTAGTTGACATATTTGAAGTAGTTCTTAAATGTAATTTTACTTACCTTTGATCGCACTTCTGCAGACAATAGTTTAAAACTTTAATATTATAGAATTCGCGTAGGTTAAACAACGAGAATTCCATTTTTTCTCCTTCTGAAAAATTAATTTAACTGATTTCAGCATTTATTACATTTTTTGTTTAAAGCGAAGACCAATTTCTAACTTGGTTAGGCACATAAACATGATAAACTTTGTTAAGCACATAAACATGATAAACTTGTCTTACTCTAGTATGTTAGTTAACAGTAGTTGTTGAAAAATGTATCAGAAATAGTAAAAAAAACCTTTATTAAAAGAATAAAATATTACAAAGGTTAAATAATAAAGAGCATACAGCCACGATTAAGGATGTAAACAAGTTATATATTATTTAAAACAAATTCACAACAAATAAGTAGACGTTTCGGTCAAGATTTGACCATCTTCAGTACAATAAAAATAAATAAGTTAAAACATTATAACTAAAAACGCAAGTCAAACAAGAAATGTAGTGTTAGCGAGTACAAAAACTTTTTTTACAATAAAATAGTAATCGCAACCGCTCATAGTAAAATAAAATTAACAATTAGTTGTTTATCGCGCTATACGAATAAAAAGAAGAAAAACTAGAGTTTTGTTCCCGTGTCACAATACCGTTAAAAAATCTTCAATAAACACGACGAACCCCATACGAAAAGACAAGCAAATACCCGGTTCTATTGTAAAACAAAAAACAAAAAAGTTTTAAATTAAAATCAGTAACATTGTATTAATGTAAAGAAAATCAAATTAAGCAATATAATTCTGCCTAGTTACAACAAGAAAATTTAAAAAAATTTTTTGAAATAACAGAAAAAACTTACGCATATCTTAGGGCACGATGACTCATCAGTACGACCGAGCACTGTGACACGTCTACGTGATAAGTGACTTTAAACTCTAGAAAAAGACAAAAGCCACTAACGCTGGTCTATTTATATTAAGAAAAAGGAAAAAAGAAGGGTAAGAAAAAGGAGAAAGGAAGGAGAAAGAATTAAAAGTGGGGACAGAACTATTTTTTAAGGAGAGGGAGATAAAGTTCTGGAAACCGTTCTGTATCGCTCTGTTTGTTTAAACCATTTTTTTGCATTTTTATATTATACGAATCATCTCCGCTACCAATCGGGAAAAAAATACTAATAAAAAATCACATTTTGTTCGATATCTCGAAACGGTGTGACTTTTTTAGGATGGAACTTTGCACAAAATATTCTTTCATTAGTGTGTTAATTTTGTCCCCTGTAGCAATCGTTACGTGCTAGGGCCTGAAATCATCTCCTTATCCTGCTATACTTTTTAATTAAAATTCCATTTTTCTTGAAGAAATATAAAAAATAAGCGAATTACAAAGTTAAAAAATTGTGCTGCTAATATGAGATGCCCCAAGAAATCGATAGTAAAACGTAAAGTATATCAGTTTATTGCAATTAAAAAACTTTATTTAATATTTTTAAAATACAAACAAATACAGCCAGTGTGCACAAAAAGTGAGCATAAAAGCGATAAATTGTACCCAGAACTCGTCAGGTAGTTGGAATCAACATCGCAGAAATAGGCGCTCAATGTCCATTCTGGTTGTTTTTTTTTATTATTATACAATAATATTTATACTTTAGCAACGATTTTCAGAATAACATAGGAGCATGGGTTATTTCATATTAAAGGTACGCTGGGTATCTCATATTACGATTTCCACGCCTTATGGTTTTACGATCATCAAATTTAACTTTTGTAATTAAACAATTCAATATATCCCGTATTTTTCTATTAGTACGACCTTACTCTATCACTACATAAAGAATTTATTGCCAAATTTATTTATTAAATAATAAAGGTCTAAAGGCTTGTATCAATGAAACTTGAAGACATCCAAATTCTAAAATCTTGTTTTACAAGATGACTACATAATCTAATAATGAATTTTCTACTAAATAGTTTTCAATTCAAGAGTAATAAATTCATGGTAGAACTAATAGATAGTGTTTATTAGTTTAGCAGAAACACCGTTATCTCATATTAGACGCTTATCTCGTAATAGCGGGCTTTTCTCTAATAATTTCGCTTAGACCAACCTAGAGGCATTATACGGACAGTTGTTTAACTGAGATTCAATTTATTTCTCATCTCTTTCCAATTCTAAAATTGGAAAAAGACAATGAATAACCTTAAGAATTAACCGTGAGTTGTGGAACTGGGCCTAAGTGTCATATACAAGTGTTGAGAGTAAAGCGCGATTGAGTGACCATCAAATTTGATATGTAGATATCCTATAAGCGCAAAATATTCCTACAATGTTATATGGACATTATTTAAAAAAAATTAAAATGTGTTATAATATTTCAAGAATATCATATATTTTTTAATATTACGAGAGTGTTCTATAGAAGTTATATGTCTACTTAGATAATAGGTATTATATCCTAATATCTCTGAAATATTAAAATATTTAAATATTAATTATTTCTAATTTAGTGCAATTTGAATTCACAATAAAGTAACAAAAAGTTCTTATCAGTCTATGCTGCATCTTGTGCTAAAAAAAACGTTTTGACGTTATTCGATTTAAAGTACATATCCAGTTCTACAACTGCGCGTCAAAATCATTTTCAGTCTTTAAATGTATACTTATACTGAACAGATGTAGCAGCTTTACAAATTAAAGTAAATGTTGTTTTAAAATACTTTTTAATATTTATAATATTACAATAACGTTAAATAATGTTACTTTTAATAATCATATAATATTATCAAGAATGGATATATAATCTTCTATTAATATTTCAAGAATATTATTTAATGTTATATAATTTTAGTAAAATATTCTTAGAATGTTACATTTAATATTCTAAAAATATGCCTAAAATATTCGGTCGGGGAAAAAGTTTTTAAAATAATATTTTATAATTCAATATTGTAACATATATACAATATCTTCATCAAAAATGAACAAAATTTAAA